ACTTGTCTTCTAGTAGTGATAGCATTTTTGCATCGTAATCTGTCTTGTCCAATTGGTGGTTGAGCCTCCTTTATCTGCAGGAAGGATGACGATGCTTTTGTCCGTTTTGAGAGATGTAAGTGCTTTCTTCTTCTTTTGTGATAACACTGAATAGGGGGTTCGGTTCTTTAGGGCGTGTACAGTGTTATTTCGGATTGTGAATTGTTCATCTTCAGTTAGATTTTCTGTCGATATAATGGATTCTAAATTTTCGAGAAAGTCTGGGTATTTGGAATCGGCAATGTTGTATTTCATTCCCATAGTAAGCACGTGTTCTTCCGTTGTTGTGAGATCTCTCGATGACAGATTTGTTACGTTTGTTGAGTAATTCTAGCATATGCACACTTTTAGGCCGACCCCAATCTACCCGATTAATCACCTTCAGGGTTGACTCACACAAAAACAAACAGATTCAGCGTTATCAGGTCAATTTGGCAAAAAATCATTATTTGGTTATGACGATGGCCACAAGTCCGATATTCTAACTAAAAATTCTCGTTTGTTCGATAAGCTGATTGGTTTCATAATTAGTTCCTTGCATAGGGGAGATCAGTCCAGGTTTTTAAAGTTTTACAAAAAACAGGATCCTGAGAGGTGCGAAACCTGCGCACGGATGCATTGCTTGCCAGTTTTCACTGATGTGCTCTAGGCACCATATTACTGCCTTGCATTGGCTATGTCTTTTTGACGATGTCACTTTGCAAAGTGCCGAATACTAACTGAACTGGGAACTGCTAATTTGCCTGCCTGCCGACTGAGGCATGAGTAAGTAAAGTTCAGCCAGGGGGCTGAAACCTAGATTGTTTTAGTTCTAGCAGCCTGAAAGAGAAGACAGCTTTCCAACTGATACTCACAATTTCCGCTTTTCCACTTGGAAGGGTTTTTTCGACAAATCGTGCGTATTTGTGTGGGATAACGAAGGAACGAACAGTTGAGTTGGGAACGTAGCCTGAAAGAGAGAGAGAAAATGTCCACTTTAAGGGCACTGATCCAGAGGTACTGAAATGTGCTGCCGGTCTGCCGCTATGCTGGCTCCCGTGTTTGATTTTTTTCCCAACCACATATCGAAGAAATGCATGTTGTAGGTCAAATCAGGAACATTATACCCTGGTGAGCAGGCAGAATAGCTGAAATTGGTAATTGACCAAAAACCAGGTGTTGTAGGTCGCTTAATCCGTCTGTCCTACAAAGCTGAATCCGCGTAAGGGGCGCTTGCCTCTGCACGCCTAATCGATACCGCTCGTCAGGACTGGTTGG